CTTAAATTTGCTTAAGCATATTCAAAATTTACAAACTAAGTGCATGAATATTTTTTTAAGTGTATGGCTGGTTGCGCCCCATCTGGTTTTTGTAAGTTTTATTTAGTATGAAATTACTTACAATAACCAGATTGGGCGCAACCATGCAGACATACACTTATCTTTCAAATTGATTATGGTTGTGAAATATATAATTCGACTTCTTTTACAACTGAAAAAAGTTTAGATAACATTCAAAATCAGGCATTACGTAAATGTAACGACTAAATGAGATATATTACCACGTCCCAAAAGAAGATCACAAATGTTTTTATGCCACTTCGTCAAAGGTCATGCATGTAATTACAAAACATAGACCAAAATTAATGCAGGAAAGGAGTTACCTACTGAAATTCCAAAATTTTTATTTTTTTTGTCGTGTATATGTACATGTACATGTACACAAACTGTAATGATATATAAATTGCTGGTTGTTTGCATACTGTCCGGTGGCAAATATTTCATACACATTCGGTTAACGAATTAAAAAAAAAATCTTATTTATATGTTATGCAAAGTGATTTAAAGATAAAGGGCAGGAAGTTTGAACAGGTACTGGAAACAATTATTGCATTGATTCATCTTGAGACGGATCTAGAAACTCTTTTTTTTTGTCGAACAAAAGAGGGTGAAAAGGGACTGTATAATAATCTCCTCGTTTCACAAGGTATAGAATGTAGGACAAAGGGGCAAACTGAATGTTACGGACAAAAAAGTCAAAATTTTTAGAACTTTTTTCTTTGATAATGATAAACAAAAGCTTATTTATTTTAATTCTTTTGTTAAGAACTGTGAAATGGAACTTAAGGTTCAAAAACTTAATAATAAGAAAACAACTAGCTAACTTCTTCATCTTAATTTTGATGTAAAACATTCCCAAGACGAAAAATATGCGCATTTGATGCGCGTAAACTATGTTTTCAAATATTTTAAGCTTATTTTTGGAACAAAATAAACCAACCTGAATTCTTATTCAGTGTACTATTCTTTTAATGTTTGTACCTTAAAACACATTTTAAATAGTATACTATCCAAACGTCTTCGGTTCTCAAGCGGAGTTTATAGCGCACAAAGTTGAAAACATCTTTTAATTTAAAAAAAAAACAAAGAGCACTGTCATAAAACTTAAAACTCGGCAATGGCATTATTTACAAGTCAGTTCGGGCTTGAAATTGATATCCTAGGCTTTTGACATACAAATCCTTCGTTATATCCTGCTGGCAGTACCGCGAGTGCAACTCCTGGAGATTCTGTTCCTTCTCCTTGTCTGTTCGGCTCTGAGGTGCTATCGCAAACAAGGCTTTTTTTTCCTTTATTCCTCTCGGTCAAAATTATATCCATTTTAACATGTACATGTATTTTCTTAATTCATACAAAAGCATCACAGAAAATTTCGCTAAAACGTCCTATTTGAAAATCCAGGTAAGGTTAATATTCCGGCGCTACAATTTCCTATGATGTCGGCACTCAAATGACCCGATGTGCATTTTTTATTTTCGCTCAAATGTCCTATGCCCATTCAACTTACCTGTTGATTGTTTTAACAGCATCTCATCAGTTTTATCATTGTTTGGAACCTAAAAGATTATTTGCGCTCATTTTCAGAACGCAAAATGCTAAAAAGTATTTATGATACAGTTATTGAATAGAAGTAAACTATTTTATTAAATAAGATGAAACAAGTTGTAATGTTCATGTGGACCCTTTGGCTAAAATGGCTGTGATGTTACCTGAAAATTACTCTGAGGACAGACAAAACTGTGTATCTGGAAAAGTTTTAAGGCATAGCATACCCTAGATAATTAAAATTCAAGTGCATTTTATGCTTCAGAAAATTAAAAACTCAACTGGATTTTGCAATGCACTTTTTCCCGTCCAATTAAAGATCAGAGGAAAATGGTCTAATTAATTTAAAAAAAAAATACAGAAATGAAGAGGCTCAATTATAGTTTCACTTCAGAATTCGAAATATGTCATTTTCCATACACGCTCTTTTTTGAAAATTGTTAATAATCAAGTACATTTGTAGTAAAAATAATATACTCTTAAGTAGCATATGTAAATCGGTAAACATTTCTATATAGAGTTGATGAGGCACATACAGGGTAATTTCCAATTTTAAAAGATGATTTTACTACCTAACACGAACTTCGTTGAGAGCGAACCTGGATTGATAGTTTTACAAATGATCCGATCAACGAAATTCTTTGGAATATGTAACGCAAACCTCAACGAGACACCTGGAATGTAACTGCATTTGATACGTTACACGATAGAAACATATTGATAACTATAATCAAATGTTATAGTAAATAAAAATGAATTAGGTCAGGGCACCTGACGAGGATGAACGGCCTTATTCGAACTTGACCTAAATGATATCCGATACACCAGGTGTAATATCATCAAATTAAAGAAATTCATAGACCAGTTGATTACCACAGATCATTTACGTTGGAAAAATCTTTTCAAATAAATAGATGTGTAAAAGTTTATAATTAACCACAGAACAATCTACCGAGAAAAGGTCAAATCAGGTTTTAACAGTTAAAGATAATATACATAATTTAAAGTAAATATATATAAGCGAAACATGCTATATATATATGAATCACCAAATCATGCATTAACAAAGCAATAACAGAATAAACCCGTAATTTAAGACAAACATTTAAATGCATATACAATTGCATATAACGTATACACAGCGATACATTAAAATCATTATAGAAACTCGATACGGACAAGAAATAAAATATCCTATAGGCAATAATGTTAGTAAGTTTTGCTAAGATTGGTTCATGGACACGATTATTTATAAAATGAAATATTTTGTCTAGATCAGCCAATCGAATTTCATCTTAGTATTATATATTCGAAAATATTTTAATTTATATTTTTCATCTTCAATTCGTATGAAATAATTCGATAATGCTGACTGTCAATCTTTAAAAATTATATCACAGAGTTATAGCAATACAAATATTGCTTAACATTGGTATGTCTCGTGTATACATAATGATTGCAAAAATTCGATAAAAGAGAAATTCAATACAAAAAAGTTTAACAAACCTTTTGGACAAAAGACAAACCTTAATATACTCTTGTTAATAATTAGATTAATTTAGAATTCCATCTAAAAAATTGTTCATTTAGGTCAACAGAATGTGTATACCTTAGGCTATTCTCAGAAAAGGTTGACCGAATATCCTTTAGACTAACTTTACCCGCACATTCACCAAGTACGTATTTCCACGGCTAAGAAAAAATCATCAAAATATCCTTTATTTACATTAATTTCAGTATTTTTTTATAAATACTTTTTGTATGTTAATAAATTTGAATGAAAGTCAGATAAATTATATTTCACTGAATGATAGCCAAAAAAAAAATTAAATATCCATCCAATCTAAATGGTAAGCCTATGATTACCTAATTATATGAAATATATTGTCGCAGATTCCCACCCAACACAATTAATTTTTATTTATAAATACCGTATATGCTAGACAAAACTATGTACGCTAAAGAAGACGATGTACGCTAAACGATACGATATACGCTACACGAAACGGTGTACGCTAAACGATACGATATACGCTACACGAAATGGTGTACGCTAAACCATACGATAAACGCTGAGAGAGCGCTTATGATATCGTTTATGGTATGGTTTATGGTACATGGTTTCGTTCGTACATCATTCGTTCAGCGTCCGTACAACGTTCGGTCAGCGTTTCGTTTGCATTCGTTCACCGTTCGGGAGGCGTACGCACATCGTTCGAACATCATGATTCGGGCATCGTTCGTATTGTTAACTTTTACGTTACAGAGACTGTATATATAGCACGCCTTTAACGAATTAACGTATTTAATTCACGAAAAGCGTTAATGAGTAAGGCGTGGCTATATATACATATGATTTGTAATATTAAAGTGCTATGACACATGTCAAAGATTAAATGCTGACCAATAAAACTTTACTGTACTTTTCAATATGTCAACCAAATAGTGGCGTGATACTATATCTGATTTCCAGAAAAGAAACACATGCAACATATGTTAGTTGGATTTTTATGTCAGATTTCCGGTGGATTCAGGCTCGATAGCCTTTTACGTGTTATTGAATATTTTATTTCTGCGTGAAAACTCTTGAAAAATAAAGGGAGGGGGAAAGGGAGGGGGGTGGGGGGGGGGGGGGGGGTATGGGGTGTAGCATTTATTCGATGTTCATCTGTCCTCAAACTCGAAAATGACGTGTCGTTTGAAAGGATTTTTAACGTTGTGATATGAAGGAAACTTTTTCTAATACCAAGGTAATTACTATTTTTCCATTGCCAAGGACTGGAAAAAGATCGGTTAATTGATTGCAAAGGTTGCATGTTGAATTCGTGTAATTATAAGGTCTAGGGACAAATATTTGAAGCTTGATCAATTCACGGAGAAAGAGACCTTTATAAAATGAAGAAAATTACTAAACATCCAGTGACAGATATTTTTTTTTTAATATTATTAATATAATTCCGACATAATAAAAACAGGTATCCAACCAAAATAACAGTAGGGAAATTTATAATCATTTCTGTTACATTTTGTTTTATTCTTTCATTAATTACTACCCCAAGAAGGCGCAGCCAGACTGTACAGTAACAACTTCTAAGATGGAAGTTAAAGCACTGGATAAGGCTCCTTCAATTCCTTACTATTCCAACAAGAAGCGGTCAACGGCGGTAGTGGAGAATGCAATTACTAAAAAAATCATTCAGTTAACGCACTCCTCTAAAAATAATTTAGACAGACCTTAATTTTAATTTATATAAACAAGTTAAAAGACAAATACAAACAGAAAATTTAAGATCATACGGTTAAAATGGCGAGAGAGCTTGGATAATATTAGTGTAGTGATTCAACATTTACGATTTAAATGGAAAGTTGAAAGTTCATTAGGTTGAACACGAGATCGTATGTTCATAAAAATTAAAGTACGGATGTTTAATATATATAGGTTGAGGATAGTCAGCTAAAGTCCGTTTGATGTGTCTGTCAAGTAAGTAGCATGTTTACTGAATTTTATTAATAACATGTATTTACATAAATTATTGCAATGAAGATTTGTATTTATGCATTTAAAGAATGAAAGTTGCACTGTATACATTTAAATAATTCAATAAGTCAGTAAACAAAATTATACAACATTACTGTTAAATGAGATCAAGGTACACGATTGAACTATATTTCGCTAATAAACTTGCAATGTAATATGGCTATATGTGTTACAGAGAATTTGTAAAATCAGGGATTTTGTAGAAGTACTGATATTTAAGGGATTTTGTATAATCACTTAACTGATCATTGATTTTATAAAATCCCTGATTTTGACTAAGGATTTTACAAAATCACTGAAAGAATTGATATCTTTTTTACAAATTCCTTAATTAAATTTTACATCTTTTTCGAAAAGCAGTCAAACTGTCTTCCAATTGTGATGGACAAGGTTTTTTTAAAATGTGGATATTATGGAAAGAACAGATGTAAACAAAATAGGTGGGCTTGTCGTAAAGCAGGGCAATTATGTAACAGTAGATGTCACCTAAACTTATCATGCATAATAGGTAAATAGTTGTCTTAATATCAGTTCATTTGCCTTTTATTCGTAATCACGGTACACTAGTTATAACTAGTTTATTAGAGAAAAACACATTTCTAATATCAAGTTTAAACTTGTAATCAGTAAGTTTACAAACTTCCTACCAATATTTTCAGTGAGTTAATACAATCCCTAACAGTTTCAGTGGTTTTACAAAATCACTGAAACTGTTAGTGATTTTACAAAATCACTAATTATTTCAGGGATTTTACAAAATCACTTATTTTACAAATTCACTGTAACATATACACGTTAATCCTTCCCTTCTTAGTAGGCATGGTAGAGGCATATCTGAAAATCCTGCGAACATTTAGAAAAACTCAGTTTAATGACATTAATTCATGCCATGTTCTCGACCTGAATATGAATGACATACGTGCCACTGGACGTTAAGCAAGCAACAATGAATGATGACATGTTTCCAAATAACAATTTGGTCAAATGATCATATATATTTATTTTCTGACATGACAGTAAGAAGAAACCGAGAGTGTTCTTGCGAGAAGAGCATGCAATATACAGCTCATCCTACGCGTTGAGAGTTAATCAACTAAATTTAAATGTAAGAATCAGACAATACTTGTAAATCGACATTTAGCTGACATGAATATATCGATAACATTTGTATACATATATCGATATTATGGTACACTTCTAATTATGATAACAGATGGCGCCTCCGTTTGAATTTTCGCTGCTGGATGACTCGGCTTTAAACAAATTCGGTTCATAAATACTCAGACTATAAGAAGAATATACAAGTCAGATAGACGATTTTATTTACTCTTTTCGAAATTGATTATAATCAAATGAAATTAGTAATATTATATATCTTTCACCAGAGTACAAACAATTTTATATGTGCCTGTCTAAAGACAGGAGCCTGTAGTTCAGTGGTTGTCGTTAGTTCATGTCTTTCATAAATGTGTTTCGTGAATTGTTTTGTTATAAATTATGCCGTTAGTTTCTTGAATTAAATTGTTTCATATATTTAATGTCGGGACCTTTTATTAGTCGACAATACGGTATGGGTATTTCTCATTGTTGAAGGCCGTATGGTTGTCTATCATTGCTTACATCAACTTTATTTAGCTGTGGTGGATATTTGTCTCATTAGCGATCGATCATACCACATCTCCTTATTTATCATATGATATTTTATTCTAAAATGCATTTGTTAGAAAGTACCAACCGTGCGAGACCTTTATGGGTAGTCAAGGTAAACAACCCTTAGTGTTAGACATTATCGCAATTTCAATATGCCCGTTAGAAACTTTTAAAGTTTTTTCGCCTCTCTTTTTTAAACTCATAGTGCTCGTTTTTTACGAAACTCTGTTTACCTTAAACTCTTTCGGGAATACAGACATTGAATAAATTCCTGTGGACGTTTTCTTTTCTTTCTGTGGCTTATATGAAAATATGCAAGCAGGCGTTGTGCTAACATGTCGGTATGTTGTAAAATATGAAGACACACTGTCTCCTCCGCCCACACTTTAATAGTTTAATCATATAAGTATTATATATATTTCATTTTGCTTCCATATTTTAATGGTGATTGAAGAGGTGTCAACTGTACACAAGACCAGTAATTTGAATATGGAAGATTATAAAATGGTACAGTGGTAGATGCAGGAGCCGGAAGGGAGGGGTGGGGGGGTGGAGGGTTTGAAGGTTGGGCACCATGGACATTATTTTCTAGTAGTTTAGATTTAGATATCTGAACATGATCACAGAGGATTTGGTGGTAGCTTCATCATTGTTTTATAATAATTTTATATGTAACCACCCCTTTATTCCTTTAGTGTATAAGATAGCGCTTTATTATTACTTTTTTTTATTTCTTATTTGGTAATTGAACAATTGAAACATATACACACATTTGTATGTTTTATTTAGTAAGTCTAATAAAAACTAAAATAACATTTTATGAAGGATATCATCATAGGTCATGTACATTTAAATATTCATTATCAGAAATGAAACTTAGGAATAATGTAAGAGATTGAAAAAGAAAGAAAAAATAAGTGGTAATTTTATTATGTCAACGGAAATAAGTCTTTAAAGTTTTCTGTGTTTCTTTGTTTTTTTTTTTTTATTTATATTTCTTTCTTTGAACTCTGGTGAAAAAAGAGTTAATCATATCGTCTATCTTACTTTTTTTCTTCTAATAGTGCGAGTTTGTTATAGGCCGGGTTTCTTTAGGGCCGAGTTATCCAGCAGCGAAAGTTCCAACGGCTGCGCCATCTGTTATCATAATAAGAAATGTACAATTATATCGATATATACAAATGTTGCCGGTTTATTCCCGTCAGCTAAATGTCGATTTACAAGTATTCATCTGAAGACTACAGTTTTCAAATAACATAAATGCAAGACACCAACTGACATATTACAAATTTCGGATTACAAATATAGATCTCACAAATATACAAATTACGAATTCAAAGTACATGTGACAAATGTACCATGTAGCAATAAATGATGGAAAATGAAAATTAGAATTTTGAATCATATAGTTGCATAGTTCGAATTGCAATTCTCAAACATTCAATTGTCGGAATGCACTGTAACAAATTCTGTAAGAATTGCACAGTTGGAATTCGAAAATTACCGAGTTACACGTATACAATCTAAGAATTGCAAAGTCGGAATTATGTTACCTTCGGCTTCTAATATATATTCCTGCATCATTATCAATGTTGATCGTAAATTGATGTTAACTTGAGTGGGTTTTTGTTTTTCATGTTGTCACCACTGCCTGGTTCTTAGGCAGACTGGAATTACATATAATGCGCAGCAATGTTTTGAACTGACTGTGGATTGGTTTCTTGCTATTGGGGAAACAACGAATGAAACATTTTGTTAATGAACAAGGTTGATGCATACATGGACTTTGCTTATTGTTGAAGGCCGTACGGGGACCTATAGTTGTTAATTTCTGTGTCATTTAGTCTTTTATGGAGAATTTTCTCATTGGCAATAATACCACATCTTCTTATTTTTATAATTACTCGTTTCAAGTACTTTGTATATTAACATTGTCACTTTTTCCATATGTTCCGGAACAGCATCATGGGAAATCTGTACGATCAGGCAAACGTAAATATAAAGTGAACATTTTGACTTTGCAAAATGACTATTTCCAGTATGTTTGCTAGTTTGTTAAGCATTTAAACAAAACAAACGCCACAAGTATAGTGGATTTATGATGACTCAGATATTAGTGTTAGCATGAAGGATACCAAAAATATCAAACCTATATGTTTTTGCTGCCGAATTGTTGTTGCTTTTTTGTTTTTCGTTTATTTTTTGTTTTTTGTTTTTTGTTTTTTTGTTTTTGTTTTTTTGTTTTTTTGTTTTGGTTTTATTTGTTTTCAATTTTTATTGATGTACAATTTATAGGACTGACGTCGAATGCCTTTTCCTTTTTAAATTGATATTACGAACGGGAATTGTGAGACCACGGTGACATGAATGAATTTTCAGTAACAATCAATATAAGCACCTGTTTATTAAATTTGTACAGCAATGTGTAAAGTTGTTTTCTTATATCATAGTTTTGAGTTGCTCAGTCAATATTTACCTCATAAGGTTTTCTTATCCTTTTCATTTCTGCTTTATTATCACAAAAAAGAAGGCAGCATGCTAATAATGGCTTTGAAGATAGTTTTCCTTGAAAAAACCTAAGTTGGAGTCTAGCCACCATTTCTTGCTTAAACTACTGGAAATTGCTGAGAAAATACCCTTTTTTTCATAGAGACTAGTAGTCAGTGTAGTGTAACACGTTGTTTTGGTTTGATTTGCGTGTATAACGGAATTTGTGAAACTAGACATGAAACATGGTGAACTATATTTGTTAGTTTAAGTATATGTAAAGATGGATATGGAAAAATTTGGAGAACTGATGAAGGCGAAGGAACCGGGTCCATGGCCAGAGTTTGAGGGAATTCGTTATCCACCCGCACCTCCTTTTAGAGAAAAAGGGGTAGAGAAGGCTTTACAAGACATACTTCACTTTCAGTCCAGAGAATCAGATTTGTTGATCTGTACATATCCAAAATCAGGTAAGATCAATATCATGTTACAATTCAAAATAAAAAGGATAATGAGGGTCTGGAAGAGGTTTACCAAAAAGAAAAGAATGGTCCAAATCTACAGAACAAAAAAAAAGCCCCCCCCCCCCCCCCCACCCCCTCCTAAAAAAAGAATAGAGAATAATGGGATGCTACAATATAAAGAATAGATAATGATAGGCAAACTATTTATAGAATAGAGAACAATTGCATAACAAAATAGAATACAGATATTAACGACCCCCATCCAGACTCTCACCTAAATGTCAACTACACATTCTAATTTGATAGCTCTATGTTAACAAATAAAATCGTAGTATCATCAGTACCAAATGGAATTTGCGAACGTTTTGTAACCTAACTGAACCTATTTTGACTATCTGTGGCACAATTGATAGACAGCAAAAAGATTAAAAACAATTAAGTGTATATACCTATGGATACATTTTGTCAATCATTTTCATAAATACATTCGAAGCTTCTATACAGATTATGTCACTTATGTTTCACATGACTGTTTGACAGCTATATACCTAAAAGTAAAATATCACATTTTGTCATGCCTTGGCCTTGCATAGCTGACTTTACGGTATTGGTTTTGCTCGTTGTCGAAGGCCTTACGGTAACCGATAACTGTTATATCTACATCATTTGAATTTTGGTGGATAGTTATCAATCATACCAACTTGAATTTGAAATCTCCTTATTTCTGTATTTAGTCATATCACAGAAAAACAACACAGCTGACTTAAAAAATCAAACATACACATAAATCTGACAAAGTTTTGAAATCTCCGCATTTCTGTATTTAGTCAGTTATACATGTAGTACGTATGGCAACCCGTTTACTTATTTATTCTAATTTCAAGACATCTCAAATAATATATAAGATATCTTTCATAATCTAGTTTTTATACGATATCGTATATACTTTATAAGATATCTTCTTAAGTTTATAAGATATCTTCTTAAATATATAAACAAATCTTATGAAGTTTAGAAGATATCTCATATACTTTATAAGCTATCTTATACACTTTATAAGATATCTTATATACTTGATCAGATATCTTCTAAAGTTTATAAGATATCTTCTCAAGTATAGACAAAATCTTATAAAGTTTAGAAGATATCTTATTTATATTTTGATATAAGATATTTGATATACTTTATAAGATATCTCATATAATTTATAAGATATCTTATACATTATATGAAATATCTTATGAACTATATAAGATATCTTACAAACTATATAAGATAGCGTATAGACTATCTTAGATATCGTATAAACCATATAAGATATCTTATAAACTATATGAGATATCTTATATAATATGCGAAATATCTCATTTAATATATGAAATATCTCATACAATATATAAGATATCTCATATTATATATATAAGATATATCATATAATATATACGATATATTGTATAATAAAAAAAAATGTCTTATATTATCCAGTTTTTATAAGATATCTCCTATACTTTATAACATATCTTATATACTTCAAAAGATATCTTCTGAAGTTGATAAGATATCTTCTAAAGTATATAAGGTATCTTATAAAGTAGATAAGATATTTTATAAAGTTGATAAGATATTTTTTAAATATTTTGTATATACGATATCTTATATACCTCATAATATATCTCATATACTTTATAAGTTATCTTATGTAGTTCATAAGATAACTTATATAGTATATAACATATATCATATAATTTATAAACTATATAAGATATATTACAAACTATATAAAATATGTTATAAAGTATATGAGATATCGTATAAAGTTAATTAGATATCTTGAAATTATAATGAATAGTAAAACGGCTTGCCATAAGTACGGATAAAGATTTGTATTTATGTTTTGTAATTAAAGGAACGCATTGGATCTTTGAAATCATCAACATGTTGCTTCGAAACAAGACAGAACTGGACACCCAATGTAAAGTTTCGACGATGATAGAATTTATTTCTGATTTCACTGTTCTAGATAAACTTGAATCACCAAGGCTTCTAAACTCCCACTGCTTATTTAACTATCTACCAAAGAAACACATCGAAAATGGATGCAAGATAATTCACATGATTAGAAACCCAAAGGATGTTTGTGTTTCCCTTTATTATCAGTTTAAGAAACATCCTTTTGTAGATTTTAAAGGATCCTGGGATGATTTTTTCGAAATATGGATGTCTGACAAAGGTAAGTAAGTTACAAACCAATCTACAGGAAAATTTTATGTCGATGTAGATATATATAGCTATTGTCCATTTATTGCTTCAGCAACAACACAAAATAAACTAAGTATAACATTGATCGAACACAATTATGTAAATACTACAATAAGATGTTAATTGTTCAACTATTTTGGTCGCCATATCAAACAAATGTCATAATTGCTACAATATACATTGTCAAATTTTAACCCTTTCTTCCTTTGATGATGAATGGCTGTTGAACGTCAAGTGGCAAATTAAATGCATATTCAGGACGTGAACAGGATCATATAATATTGATATAGACCCCGCTTTTCACTAGATCGACACGCTGAGACAGATTTTTAACGTACTTTAGCTCACAAGATTATAGTCGTCAGAAAGACATGTCACCCTACCCGGACACATTATTCTTAAACTGAGCTCGCCAGTCTTTGTATGCTTAGCGGAGAAGCAGTAAATCTCGTTTTTTTAAGTCTTTTGCTTGATCAGGCCGACGACATCCCACACTTAAGGCGAATACGCTACAACAAACCCATAGAGGCGGTTCCCTTCCTTTTGAGTTTAGTATTTCGTGATCGGCTTAAGTGAACTGAACTAGTAGAAGTTTCTCTGTATCGATTATCAACTGGAACTTCTAATGTGATATAACTTAATATCTCAATAGAAACAATCTGTTTTGTCTAAAGTAAGAAATGGCTTGATCTTTTTGCAAGGCATATGAATTTGATTACATGTTCAAAAATATACAGAAATGTTGATGTTAATAAACAAAGGGAGAAAATGAGTTTATATTGCAGATTGGGGGGTTTCCAGAACGTCAATCCTCATCCCTAGAAAATGTTCTCGCTTTTAATTCACTCCGATGGTCTTGTTGTATTATCCTATTTAATCGCAGGAAGTCGTTGTTCGATCAATGGCAATGCCAGAAAGTCCGAATTATAAGCCTGGTATCTTTGTAAGGTGTTGGCATCCATTGTCATTTATTACATACATAATATTATCAGGACGAGCACATGTTGATGAAATTCGAATATGAACTGTGCTTTGTTCTAGACCGACACGCTTAGTTGGGTTTAGATGTGCTTGTTTTCAAGATAGCAGTGCACAGGAAGACAGATCAACACACCTCGACACTCTGACTACAAACTGACCAAAACAACAGCACAAATACATTTTATAAGTCTTTGGTTTACCCGGTCGAGAATCGAACCCACGTGCAGTCGAGGGGAACATACCACCAAGAACCCACGGATAAGGTTATTCCTGTTATAATTCATTTGAGCGACGTTATGGTTCTTTATTTGCATAAGAGAGAGGCGAAAGATACCAAAAGTGACATTCAAACTCATAAGTCGAAACCAAACCGACAACACCATGGCTAAAAAAGAAAAAAAGAACAACAGAGAAATAATAATACACAAAACATAACTTCACAAACTATAGATTGAGCAACACGAACCCCACCAACACGGGGTTAATCTCGGGTGCTCTGGAATGGTAAGCATGTCCTGCTCCACATGTTGCACCCTTCGTGTTACTCATGTTAATACAAACACGGTAATAAGTCTAAATCGGTAGGTCACATTCGGTGAAAGGGGGACCGGATTGTGGTTACGACATTTGGAACATATCCGCTATCATTTGTGAAACGGATATTCCATAACGGTCAACCACGTGAACTGACGTGATGGCGTCCGTAAAATTTATGAAGGAATGATTTCAACTTTACCAGTTTGAACTCTTGCATGTAATATTTGTCTCTGTATTTTCAACAGCCAAATTATCTGCAACCTTTATCCCTTGTATGTATATATGCCTTAATATAATGTATAGACAATACTTCGTCAGATAATTAGAAATATTTGAATTACTTTACCTACGTTAATTTTCAAAAAAAAAAGATATCAATTAAAACGTATATTTTGTAAGATACAACGCTTATATAAAGTATTAATCTCTACAACGCTTTTATAAAGTATTAATCTCTTTTTGTAATGGCATTCTATGGCATTCTTTTTTTTTTCATGTTGAATAAGGATAGTCATGCTGTAGCTTTTACCTACATATTAACCATTTTGAGGGGATTTTGCAGGGCGTTTATATATTTGGTCGTAATTTGTTACATGTGTTTATTTCTGCTTAAAGATGGTTTTCGCTGTTATTGCATTATGTCCTCTGATCTTCTTTTGTTGTACTGGATCTCATCCACTTTACTTATTTATACCGCTTATGAAGAAACCTCGCGTAAAATACTGTGGATTTTTTGTTCGTTGGAACTTATTTTCGTGGATTGAGGAAATTTCAATTTCGTGGTATTGCCAAAATTTGCATACAAGCTTATTGAAAATGTGTAACTCGTTAAACCTGTAATTTCATATATTTACACCAAGTCTATTGCATCTTAGATTTTTAACCACAAGAGGGTTTTAGAGGCCTTTAACCTCAAAGATGTGAAATCCAAACCTCCGGATTGCTCATAGTGCATCACCAAAATACAATTATATTCCAGCTGGTCATGTTATAACTGACGACATTGGCATCGTAACAAATGAACAACTAAGAGAGTTGTTAGCCAAGGGAACAAAATATAGAATTCCACAGCCAATCAATTGGAAAAAGAACTTCAGGTTACTGATGGATGCAGCTGAGGACTATGCTAGAAAATGAGTAAAGTGCGAACCAGACGAACCAGAACTGGACACTTTGTCTGAATGGATCAAGACAGTTGATCATGCCTCAGAAGCGCATTTAGAAACTACGATGTACTATGAGCACAAGAGTTTCTAACCCATTCAAAAACCCGGAGGTTGTGGATGCTTTATACTCTTTGCATGACAAATATGTCGTTGTTCCAGCAGATAATAATATTGTCTTCGTATGTAAAAACCATTATTTGCAATGTCTCACAAAAGAGCTTGGAATATTTGGTATTAACATCAAGGAAAACGAAGAAAATCTACCGTCTTTATACTGGATACCGAAACTTCTTATCAAGAACGATACATAGCTGGATCATCAAGATGTATGACTAAACAGCTTTCTAAAGTGCTGACTACTATTCTTTCTACAGTAAAAGATGGCCTTCAAAAATATTGTGATGAAATATATTCAACCAGTGGTGTCAATCAGATGTGGATTCTCAAAATTTCTAAAGATCTACTGCTAAATCTTAGATCTTAGATTAAATCCTTTGATTTGTATACGCTTTACACTACTATTCCCCATGCTCAATTGAAAGATCGACTTCACCATCTCATTAAACAGAGGTTTTTCTATAAAAATGGGAATCGTAGATACATATTTCTTGTTTTGGGTTATACTAATTCTTATTTTGTGAAGAACCACACTAATTATATCAGAAAATACACTGAAGATATTATCAAAATGCAGGACTTTTTAATCGACAATATATTTGTTGAGCTTGGAGGATTGCTATTTCAACAGACAGTCGGTATTCCAATGGGTACTTATTGTGCACCCCGTCTGGCCAATTTGTTTTTGTACTCGTATGTAGCAGAATTCATTCTGAACCTTCAAAAATACAAAAAAGAAAAAACACCTTGCGAAATTCTTTAATTTTACTTTTAGATATATTGATGATGTCCTATCACTGAATAATCATATTTCAGTCAGTACTTGCATCTCGTATATCCCAGTGAAAGTGAAATTAAGGATACTACTGATACCAGAAGGACTGCTTCATACCTTGGTCTTTTCCTCAATATTGACACAGATGGACGACTTCACACTAAAATCTATGACAAACGGGATGATTTTAACTTCCCAATTATCAATTTACCATTTCTCAGCAGTAACATACCCTCTGTTCCGTCGTATGGTATTTCCATATCTCAATTCATACGTTATGCCCGTGCATGTTCACCTTATACGGACGTCGTATACAGGAGTGTGCTCCTTACGCAGAAACTGCTCCAACAAAGTTATGAGGAGGATAGATTAAAAATGACACTCCGTAAATTTTATGGACACCATCACGAAATGGTTGATTTATACTATGTGTCTGTGTCTAAACTAACCAACGACATTTTTGCCACTTCTCAGATTGTGGGTTTACCATCTACGTCGTCTGTCTGCTAAGTAACGAACGTGTCCTATTCCCGAATATGACTGTTATGCCGAGTGTGACTTCGCATTGCTATACGACTTGTCTCGGTATCTATACATCCAACATTCATGTATCTAGTTATGATGTTTCTTTTGTAATTACGGTTTGATACTGTGTTATGTCTTATCGTTTGTGGTTTGAATTCTGTATTGTCGGTAAATTTCACATATGTCTTATTTGTCAGTATAGTCGAGTTAATTTCCATTTTCTATGGATAAAGTATTTTGTTAGTCCAACAAATTATGATCGTCAGAGCATTAAATTAGAATAGCCTTTCAAGACCGTCATAATCATAATTATTTGGACTAGTATTGTGAAAATAATTGTGAATTTTTTAATCCCATTCCATATAATTGTATGAGTTTCAAGATAATATACACGTCACAAAAATGAGTCACTGTTTGTGGTGTCGGTTGTTATTCTGTGTATTACATGTTGTAATGTACTTTTATATTATTTATGTATGCATTTCTCTGTGCTGGATGTTCTTGCGTTTGTTTGTACTGTATTCCTGTCACGTAGTGTTGTCATTTTAGCGATATATATATTTTTTTTAAATTAACATTAGCAATACATCCATGTAGGCAGGAGGTTTGGCTAGCCATAAAAACAGGTACAACCCCCCATTCTTCTCAAAATGTCCTGTACCAAGTCAGGAATATGGCCGTTGTTATCAAATAGTCCGTTTCTATGTGTGTTGGCGTTTGTTTTTGTGGCAGTTTAGTGTTTCTGTTGTTCCGTTGTTTTCCTCTTATAGTTGATGTGTTTCCCTCGGTTTTAGTTTGTAACCCGGATTTGTTTTCTCTTAATCGATTTATGACTTTTGAACAGCGGTATTCTACTGTTGCCTTTATGTTGAACGTTTAAATTTGTGATTCATCTGTACCCATGAATTCTACCAACATTTGTTTTTAATTTGAATAATAATGAATCCACATTATTTTATAAATTTTCTCATTCGTCTCTCATAAATGTATAATTTGACTTTTCCAAGAGAAAATACTGTTGCAGAACACGTCTGGCTAACTACAACCTTTTTACCGTATGTTGAATGGTTGCAGGATAATTGTCAGCTCCTGATTGTTAACGTCTGCCTTAACCATATTGACAGTTAAAACTGATTGGGACCTGGCAATGATTTTGTAATATTATATTTTGTTAAATATATCGCGGAAATGTTTTAATTGTTTGTCTGCTACTTTCATTGGTTAACAGTTTAGTCAATCAAAATAACACTGTTTAATTAAATAAAATGCATCATTTCATTCCTTCAGGAAGAGAGCCCTCTTAAACTATGTTTCTTTATAATTTACCAAAATTTAAAATGTAAAATGTATAAATAAAAACAAACTTTTACATTTATCCCGTTCTCCTTTTCAAGTGTGTATGCTATTACCATAAGAAACTATTCTAACAACAGTTGATCGATACGACGGGTGCACAGGTGGAGCAGGATCTGCTGACCCTTCCGGAGCACCTGAGATCATCCTTTTTTGGCGGGATTCGAGTTGCTCATTCTTTAGTTTTCTATATTCTGTTTTTGTATACTGTAGTGTGTCTTTTGGTCTTTGTCGTTTTTTGTTTTTTGTTTTTTTGCCATGGCGTTGTCTGTTTATTTTCGACTTAAATGCCCCTATGGTATCTTTTGCCTCTCATGATCTTCCTCAGTCACAACAGGTCATTCCGGATTTTCTTGTGAGTTTCATTTTGCGCATTTTCTTTTTTGTATAATGCATTCAATATTGCTGATTTGGTTCCGTCCTTTTCGTTTTCCCATATTGTTGTCTGTCCTTTTTAAAAAGTTTTTTTTACCATTTTATTTTTTTATGTAAAACTATTTCTGTTTGTTACCAGTCAATCAATAATGCCTTAACATTGTTATTTGTAGGTTTCTATGGATCTTGGTACAATTATGAGAAGGAAATGGAAAAAGCAGAGAAACTCTATCCTGGCATGATATTAACTTGCTATTATGAGAAAATGAAAAAGGTTTCTATGTAATAATTTCAATTCTCTGTTTCATTTACAATATTACAGATTTAAACAAATAACTATACTAAACTGTTCCCCTGTTTTCCATAACTTCTGAAGAAAATATTTGAAATAGACTTTATATATGTGTAGGACTCATATCCATTGCGGGTTCCAGATCTATGACATATGCCCAATATATGGTAAATATGACGTCATGACATTCCAAATCTATGGCAGACTTTGTAAACCCGTCGCAATGTCCAAAGGCCGGCAGTAAGTAAAAGTCAGTATTAGAAAAACGAGTTAGGAGTACGACAACGGGAGCATATTCATAACCATCTGTGAAATGGACCTTTCATAAGGGTCAATCAAATCGTGATGGCGACCATAATATTTCCTAAGTGTGGAAGTGATATGTACGGAAACAAACTTTATGAAAGAAAAGATGTGGCCCTGGAAATTAAACATTTCCTACTCTGTGCATGGTAGCTGTTTAACCCAGTTATTTTATCAACTAGTCAAAATGAAAATCCATTAACAGACCAAAATGAAGTTTGAATAAAAAGAATTTAACAATTTGCCTTTTTTCATGTTATTTACTTGGGCGTTAGGAAATCTTTTTTAACTAATAAAGATTTAAGTTAAGTGGTATCCTGTGATTTCATCCCTCACTTTATATACTTTGCCAGTCGTAGACGCTATAATAATAACTATAATTCCTTTCCTATTGTAATTCAACGATATCTAATGAATACACGTTTTTTATACCACCTATAAATGGGCAACAGACTTAAACATTTTATCATAATGCTATAAAAGATTGAAACTTGTTGCCAAATGAATCAAAGAGCAACAAAATTTTAAATCTGGTGTTAACGATTTTCTGTCGAAATAGGACAGCAACGATTTTAATAGCAATTTTTTATTGTATTTTATTGATTGGCTCTAATATTCTAGTCTATGTCATCGTAAATTTTAATTTTAACATAATTAGTATAAAGCCTGCCAAAGTCATGATTTCTTATAACTATATTGAATATTTTTAAGAATGTAACATAAAGGGACACCATTGGAAATAAGCCGTATGACTTTCATGGGCAATCCCGGTTAAGTATCAGCAATTGTTTTTTGTTGTTTTTTTCCCGAAATATTCGCTTATTAAAGCAGTAGTTCTTTTATTCATCGCGGGATTATTACGGTACAGCATATATTGTCCCTCCCTTGGATAAAGGCCACATCTTCCTGTAAACCATTTAAGAGGGAAAGAGGAAAGTGTGTCCCTGTATATTTGTTTGTAAAACTCTCTTTAAGTCCCGGGTAATACGACATGATTCAATTGTGACGCTTTAGTTTACTCTTTTCCCCGGACAATTACGCAATTTCAAAATCTGCCATAGATTGTGAGAAAAAACAAAATGCTATAGATTTATGATTTGTATGGCGTTTTTGACGTCATATTTGCCATAGATTTGAAATCTGCCATAAATATGGAACCCACCCTAGATTTGAGATCTACATATATGCAACAAAATGTCAAGCAATGGCTCATTAAACAATTTCTCATAAGTATATCATAACAAAAAAAAAATAATAATATAAACAAATAAACTGTGTGTGTACAACAACTACGTCATTTTATAGTGACACAGCGGTTTAAATGCAGTAATTAGTACTTCGGTACTGACATGATTAACAATAAACCTTTAAATTGTCCGGTAATACTTATTATTAAAAAAGTAATGTTTCAACTTCCTCAGGCAAAGTTGACCTTGGTTGGATTTGACTATTATTTTAGGTCCTTTTTTTTCGGCATGCAGCTTTTCAACTGTTCATTGGCTTTCAAATATTTTGCTAGATCTTTCTTGACGAACGTAAATCCAGAAAAGCTATTCGACGCATGAAACTCATAAAGTGTTGTTTTCATATTAACAGCACTGCTTTGATCGATATCGCTGCTGGTGGACGATCAGTCCCCGAGAGTATAATCAGTTTAGTAAGGTACTGACATGATTCATAGCAGACTTCTCTAAAACTGTCCGATATCATTAAATTAAGAAATTATTAAGCAAGTCAGGTTTCAACTCCCTCAAGCAAAGTCTACCTTAATTAGTTTGAATTGGCTATTATTTTAGGGTCTTTTTTGGTCATGTAGCTTTTCGACTGTTAATAAATAACGCACGACATGGTGTTGTTTTAATGTTTTTAGCGCTTCAAACTTCATATTGAAGGTTTTTATTTACACAACAGAAAACATATATTCAATAGTTTTAATTCTTAAATGCACTTAACCCACAGAACGAAATAACTGAATTAACTTAAATCATTATTCAATTCTAAAATTGAAAAACAACAACACCCTCCTGTGTATTGGTTTGTTAGTGTTTTTTAACGTATACCTAATTCTACTTTTATACAAATTTATTGTTTAGTTTTAACTTTGTGTAATGGGTGCGTCTTGGTTTGCACTATGGGTCATATATCGTTATCAATAATCGTATTGAAGCCATGTCAATATGTGCGCGCCAATTAGACCGTCGTTTTTCTTTTCTTTTTTTTCTAAGAAACACACGCCTGTTGTACTTTTATGTAATTTAAAAAGTATTAAAAATATCAAACTCCAAGGCAAACTCAAAAAGCAGAAAGTCCATAAAAACTGACAAAATCAAACGCTATTATTCATAGGATCAAGTGAAAACAATTGCGATAGTTATGACTTGATACAACCATTTTCTATGTTGTTGGGTTAACCCTTGTTTTATAGCTAGTAAAACCTCCCGTTTGTATAACAGTTATTTTTAGTTCAGTTATTTTGAAAAAGTTGGGTGAGAAACCCAAACAGACAATAACAGGTTTATGTGACAATGATTGGGATCCAGCAGCCCAAACTGTGTAAACATACATCACAGAAATTACAACACAACTGACTCAAATTCAAACATACATTCAAACAAAGAGGCCAACAATAAATAGTAGATTTGGCAATGATGTCAACAAATAAAGAGTTTGTCGTTGATAGTACATATCGGTTATAGTATACACTTTCTCATAAAGTAAAATGTAGGTAGATATATATATTAGGGTAAACAAAAATAGACACAACACCGTGAAAACACTTTGTGTCCGAATCGCACCTCGGGACCCACCTGTACCAGGTATGCCCAAGGTTAAAAAGTAAAAAAAAAATTCAATGGCGTGATGCATATATACCGAGTCACGTCAAAAGTCATACGATCAAAAGAGACATAATAGCACGAAGACAAAATCAAACAGTGTAGCATTACATATAAACGAATTTAAGTTTATCGTTGAATATTCTTTGCTTAATACATTAATGATGAATACAAATAATAATTTCATCAACTTTTAATGTCATCGGTACATCGGTTAAAAGCGAACAAGTGGAAACCGTGTTCATTTAATATTAGGTCAGTAGGAGTGTTTTCTTTTAAAAACACGATCAGTGGGAGTGGTTTATTTTAGTATACAGTAAGTTAATTCTTTAATATTAAATTGTTATTAATGGCAATTGTTTTTGTATACACCAGTGCAAGAAGGTTCTTACTAATGAAGATTTTAAATGACTTTTAGAGACATTGTGCACTTTTTATTTCATTTAATTCATATCAGAATTACGTTTTGCTCATCAAATACACAACATGTAGCACAGCATCCTTATAAAGACAGGGGCTGCAGGGGTTTGGAAATGTCAACTTTGAACGAATTTTTGTTTAATTCAATAAAGGATTCCACAACAGAGATAAAGAGACTGGCTGATTTCTTAGGAATACAATGCACAGAATCAACGTTAAAAGATATCGCTTACGCAACGTCATTCCAGAATATGCAACAACATAACATGCATAAGTTAGATTCTTCAAAAGAACTTGATGGAAAAGGCTTCATTTATCGAAAAGGTATTTATTATATTTCATATAGTACACACCTTTTGTAGTATCTTAAAATGATACATTAGACAGCTATCAGTCTATATAGAAAATATCAAAATCGTTTGACGTTCAAATGTCGGAAATCGATTAAGAAACGAAAACAACTGAGATAATTGGATGAACTCCAAAAGGAATGAGACCGGGCGCGTCGACACAGTTGGCATCTCCTGCTTTGCATGCATAATACGCCATGTAAGTCTGCGAGTATTTTATTTTTATTTACACATAGTGTAGAATAGTAGGAGATGAAATTGATATGACAACGAAAGAGCAACCAAAAGAACAAAAAAAAAAAACACCAAAAAATATGACGATTTTAGATCATAAATGGAACCATCAAAGTGTTTCTCTATGCAGTGTAAACTGCTATCAGATTCATGGCAGAATGCTGATGAAGACTGAAACATGTCGTAGTATAATTAACTGCAGTGAAGCTGTATATATATAGTGTATGGTTTAGTAAAAACGATTTTGAGGTTCAAAATGTCAAAATATTATTGATTGGTTGTTAGTTGCTTAACGTACAGTGGCAAATATTTGATGCATGTTAAGAACGAGAACAAGTTAACAATAAAAACAATAGGTACGTCCTGTAGTATAGAGCGTCCGGGATGAAGGTCAGAGAAATTGGGACTGCCACTAAAAATTGAGAGTATATTGGATAGGGACAGACATTTTGCCTGGCAAGGGTTCTTATTGTGCAAAGAGCGTGACACTTTCTTTACACGAGATATCAAATTTAACGTCCCCATTCTGACCAGACGGAAGCTTACTAGTACTAACTGCACAGCCAAACGGATGTCCCACTTTGGCAATGGTTTTACTTCTGTCGGAATAAGACCTTTGTGACTATATTTATATTCCCGAGTCAATGTATGTATTTAGACCTCTTTTTCTTGGTATTTTTTAATTGTAGACGAAATATAAGGATATATTGTATCATTCAGAAGGTAAACTACTTATTCACGCTGTACAAGTATACACTTATATGACTAATGTTAAAACTACTTCGTCTTCTGTATGATCTGTGTACCCTTACATTCATCTTATCAGAGGGCAAAACTTTTGCTGTGCTGGATATACAAAAACGTCCAGTCTGATTGGGGACATACTATGAAATACATATATTGGTGTAAGTTTATCGACAAACAAGAGCCTTTACAACCACTGCAGCTGATTGGTTTAGATTGCCTAAGCAAGATGTAAATACAAAGCTACACCAGTTAACTCTTAGATGCGAAGATATAACTAAATTTACGTGTGTTTCTCTAAATAGCACACTATTTTTTACATGTAAACACATGTGCACAATGCATTGCTAATGTTCATGTACATTTGACATTCACGTCTAATTTGTGAGAAAAATGTTTCTGAAATATACCTAACAAACAATAATAGAAGTTATCTTCTTTTTGCTTTTGCACTCTACTTGAAGATGATTTTCGTTTGGAAACTGTCCAAATGGCTGTTTCGTTGAATTAATAATCAACCCTCATTCACGCGATAGAATAGTTTTTTTGAAAGGAACGGACACCTTTTAAGAAATACAACAGAATGTAGACATGAACGCGAGTAAAATATCTTTTGAACATGTAAATGCCATTCAATCTGACAGAAGGTACTGAAAATTAAAATTTGGCAATTGGAAAACATGATATATTCACGTTTGTCATAAAAACCCTAGTTTGAAGTCGTTATCTGTCTATGCATGTCAAATACAATTTAAAAATACTCGCTGCTGTGTGAATTATTAAGTAACGAAGATATTAACAATTTATCTGAAAGTGAGTCTAAAATTATTTACAAGAATATATATTTCATAATTGCTTTCTGTGAATTTGTGTTTGCATGTATACAGCAATAAGACGGTCTACAGCCCAATTTGTACCTATCAATCCCACACATGAATTGCAACACCACTATAATTCCAAACTGCCTATACCAAATTAAAATTAGGAAGGTTTTTTATGGAAATGATTTAAAGACATTTTTTTATACAAATAAAAATGATGACCCTTAGTGCTTAGAACATTGTTATTTCTTATTTCTTTCTGTTAATGTATCAAGGCAAATTTTCTCGCTGTGTTGAAGACCCATTGGTGGCGTTCGGCTGTTTTCTGCTCTTTGGTCGTGCTGTTGTCTCTTAGAAACATTCTCCATTTCTATTCTCAATTTTACAACAATACTTGCTTACCTTTAATTTTCATTATGTGTTCTCTGATTAAATTACCAGAATTTGTTCAGAGCAATGTAATAAGAACTAAACATGTAACATGATTTTTTTCTGCAATTCCTACATCTTAACACCAGTAATATAGACATAACAAACGGAAAAAAAAAACCTATTCCTCCTTGCAGTTATCAACAACATAAGTTTACAATTACTGTGTTTCAGGGGAAATAGGAGACTGGAAAAACCATTTTACAGTTGCACAAAATGAGCGCTTTGAAGAACAGTATACAGAAAGGTTTAAGGACAGCACATACAAGCTCACTTTTGAATGACACTGTTAATGACTGTATATTTATGTCACTATATTTAAATTTTTGCAATAACTGTGTACAACCTTCTCTGATTTTTACTTCACTTTGTATGTCATGTTTTATTTTATCATACACTGTTTTCAATAATTAAGTTTAACTAACCAAACAGTTCCTATTTCAAAGTATCCTCCATACATGATATGCTGGCACAGCTCTGCTTTGCAAACTGTTGTCTCTTCTCCGGGCTTTTTGGTTTGTAAAAAAACATCATGCTTTTAATATATTCATGCTTTTTTCAATTGCATATTCTGCGTATGCTTTTGGTGACCAATGTCTTTGAATATCTTCAACCTATAACAGATATTTATATATTGATATTTTTTCTTAGATTTTACACCCTTCTAAGTATTATGAAGTGTTACGTGTTATAACTCCAAGTACTGCATGTTCATTTAAAAAATAATGGTGAAATGTTTCTGCATGCTTTATATATTTAACCCTATAACGGCACCTTATTTAGGATTATGGTCATATGGTATATGGTATCTTTTTATGTTGTGCAAAGAATTTCAGAAAGTTATAATGTTATCTTTTGAAATAAAAGATCCTAAAATAAAAGTTACCATTATTATTCAAATAGGACTAGTTTCATATTTTTTTCTTCAGTCATTTTCTAATAAGATAACAAATGTCTCTAGCATGGTCGAAGTAATTTGGTTTCTGATTTTTTGACGTCACTGCTGTTGTGGAATAAAAAATAGCACGTGTGGTCTCATTTACACATGACTATATGTTAATCCTAAATATGTCAAGTCATTATTCATTGGTCTTTGTGTTATGAATTACATGTAGAGTGTGCCCATTCTTTTGTATCACAAGATTGACATGATATTATTGTTTTAAACCTTGAGTTCATATACCCTTATGGTCTATGTAATTAAAAATCTTACAAGTCATAAGTGTTCGATTAGATATCATTTGTTTCTTCTTAATTTTTCGGAGATTGAAAATTGTGTTACATGTAATGAATTACAAAACTCGAAGTTATGAGAAAATGGACTAAAACCAATCTCACCATCAGAAGTAACAAATGTGTTTTTGCTTTTTCTTCAACTCTTGTGTATACTCATGGATCAGTTGGTGGTACTTCCTAATGCTTTCTCTTAAACGAGTAATATCTTTTCTAAATGATGTGCTATGTTGAATCTGACATTCTCCAAGAAATAAATTATCATTTTAATGTATTTTCTTGCAAATTTAAAAGGAAAACAAATATTTCACCAAACTTGTTTTCTTGCTTCAACTAAAAAATGAAAATTTTGTGAACATGTCTTTGTACAAAAAATAACTAAAAGTATTATCTTCCATTAAACGGCTGTGTTGATAAACTTTCTGAAAATTAGCCCCAGTATTAAACCAAGAGTGCACACGCTGAAATGACTCGCCTGCTTTACCACTTCATTGTTTTTATGTTGTAAGTCTTAAAGATAGAGGTTTTACGACAAGTATCACCTTTCATTCATCTCATTTTGTTTATGTTGTCAAAACAATTTAAATATATACAATTACTTACATTATCTTTTAAGCGTTTTCCTTGCATGCTATCTATATACTTGAAACAATTGTGAAATCTACTTTGCGGATAAGTTGATTGCAGATGACGTAATATATTCCTTACTGTTGCTTCAACAGAAAGTTTGACGATATACTTAACTAAATGCTTAGCAAGTCCTAATGGTACGAGATGACGCATACCAATAGGTATGTATCTGAAAAAAAATATTTAAAAACTGCTTATCCTTACGTTATTATCAGAGCATATTCGCAGATGTGTGTTAGTGTATGTATGCATACTTGTGGTTTCTCTGATATAAAACCAGAACATACTCAGCTTAAAGGATTTTTGTTAAGGCTGTTTACCCTGAAGTTGAGGTCACATCAACTTGGAAGTTGTTGCACATGTTCTTTAAGGTGAACTTTTAACACTGTATTCAAAATTACCATCTGACACCACTCTTCACTGAACATAGACAGAGTTGAGAATTATTTTACATGTACTTCTTTGCTCTTAATATTGATACAGCCCTTAAATGGTGTAAACTTCCCAAAAACGTGTATGGTGTAATGGTGTATGGCATATGGTGCAATGGTAGAAGGTGTATGGTGCTATGGTGTATGGTGTAATGGTGTAATGTGCGATCGGGAATGGTGTGAATGAATGGTGTACGACATTTAAAACTATGCATACTATTGATTTACTGATTTTTAATTTTATACATTAATTTACAATATTGAGATCAAAATTTGTTTTTTAAAATAAATAAATAATTTTGTAGTCGCACGCTTTCTTTGAAATTGAATTGCATTATGGTGAAATGTGTAAGTTGTATGGTGCAAAGGTGTGACGTGTATGGTGTAATGGCACAGGGTGTATGGGGTAATGGTGTATGGTGAATGGTGTAATGGTGTAATGGTGTTAGTGGGAAGTTTACACCATCCAAGGACTGTAGTATGTGTTTTTTATGTATATAATGTGAAATAAAACAGTGTGCAGACCTTTATAGAAGTCTGTGACGTTAATCATTTACTGTAATTTTAAGTTGAATTTTTAGTTTTGTAACTACAATTTACAGAAACACAATACGCATAAAAAACTAGATGACACCATATCGAAAGAGTGATTGAAGTTAAACATGTTAAAGAGACCTTTTAGCTACTGCTTGCATAAGCAGTAATGCGTTCTTTCATATATATTTTTTTTTGTTTTTCAGTTAAAAGAAGTCTGAACTCATCGTAGTGATGGATAAAAGATGAAAACAATATATGATAATGACTGTTTCAAAAGAATTATTTTACATATATATATATATATATATATATATATAAGTACGTCTAAACAAGTGACAACTCTACGACAGATCCATACATTGGATCACTAGTGAAGGTGATACACGTCTGAAAACACATATTATATTCATATTTACTCTAAATATCAGCACAACAATGTTAAATCAGCAAATTTGCGGAGGCGAATTTTCGTTTTTCCATCGCCAGGATTCGAACTCGATGCTATTTAGATATCGAGACAACACCGCCTCCACTGTGTCCAGCGCTCTAGACCACTCGGCCACCTAGACTGAACTAAAAATGCAGCTGTCGGTGGCCTAGTGTAACCTTTCATCGTCAGTAGAATCTAGAGTTGTAACACAGTACATGATATATTAGGCATGAAGATGGAATTGATTGCAGATTAGCTAAATTATATATCGTAGAGGATCGTTGGATGCAGTCACAGAAATCATTATGTGATAAGTACGTCTAAACAAGTGACATCTCTACGACAGATCCATCTATTGGATCACCAGTGAAGGTGATACACGGCTGAAAACACATATTATATTCATAATTACTCTATATATAGATATATAGCTATAACAGCATTTAGAAAATTGCTTCATTTACTTGTTCACATCACATATTTTACCCCAACCTTTAAAGTGGGGCTATATTGCAATCATATGTCTGTATGTCCATTCAATTGTCCAAAAAGTATTTCCTCCAGAATTTCTTCAATACTACTTAAAAGTTTGATTTAATATTTGGACAGCAGTTTGACACTACTTAATAAGTTGTAATTTGCGAGTACTTTTTTCAAATATTTGTTACATACTAACTTTATGTTGACCCAACTTTTAGATATTCAAGTTTTGAATATGATGATTAAATCAATAATTGTTAAACATTACCCCAATATATCTGAACAAAATGACTTCAAATTAGGTCAGCTGCTAAACAGTCGTTTTACTATATATTCTAACTTCAAAATACCAAACAAACTTTATAAGATATCTCATATATTTTATAAGATATCTTAAATTGTTTATAAAGTATCTTATAAACTAAATGAGATATCTAACAAACTATATAAAATGTCTTATAAAATATATGAGATATCGATACTTATATAAAAATATCTATAAGTTATCTTGTAAAATTTATAAGATATCTGATAAGGTTTATAGGATATCTTATAAAAAATAGATCATATAAGAAATTTTATATATTATATGAAATATTTTATATATTTTATGAGATATCTTTATATTTTATATGAGATATCTGTTATAGTTTATTAGATATCTGATATAACTTATAAGCTATCTTATATTGTTTATACTATATCTTATATCGTTTATAAGATGTCTTATATTGTTTATAAGATATCTTATAAACTATATGATGTATTTTATGAACATTATCAGATATCTGATAATCTATATAAGATGTCTTATAAACTATAAAAGATATCTCATATAAAATATAAACTTTATAAGATATCTTATATACTTAATAACATATCTTTAATAATTTATAAGATATCTTATAAATAGTTTATAAGATATCTTATAAATAGTTTATAAGATATCTTATATATAGTTGATAAAATATCTTATATTTAGTTGATAAGATATCTTATATACAGTTTATACGATATCTTACATATAGTTATAAGATATCTTATATAGTTTCTGTATAAATTATATAAGATTGGTTATAAAGTATAGAAGTTATCTTATAAAGTATATAATATTATATTATATATTATATATATTAAGACCATGAGATATCTTATAAGATATTTACGATATTTTATCAAGTTGATAAGGTATCTTATAAAAACTTGATTAACGCATCTGATATGAAGCAACGGTAATATTGTTACAAACAAGACTATCCGCCAGAGTTCAGAGGTCATTGGAGGTAACCGTTTTGTCTTCAACAATGAACAAAACAAAGACAGTATAGTAAGTTTTCAAAGGCCTAAAAATGCAGGACCGCATATATATATGTATACATGTATGCTAAAACAATAAACGAACAACAAATATGACAAACAGCTACGATCGACAACAACTGAGTTAAAAGCTACTGACTAGGGACAAGAACATAAAGTACGCCACAGGATTTTACATGTTTGCATAATTATCCGATTTGTAGATATTTACCCATGTAGAGCAGGATTTGCTGACTCTTCCGGGACACATTGGGTCAAGCATATTTTTTTTTTCTTTGTAGGATTTGTGTTGCTCAGTCTTAACAATGCTATGTAGTGTTTTGTGAACTTGTTTGTTTTTTTCGTGCTTTTTTTGTTTAGGTTATTGCCATGGTATTGTGGTACTGCCTCTTTATTTCATCACATTTCTTTTGGACCATATCCAAGCAATTTTTTAATCAAAATATTAAACCTCTTACATCTCAAACAAAAGAGTAGAGCATTATCAAGGTAGCAAATTCGTGAAAAAAATAAGGCGTCGTGAAAAGGACGATTTGGTTTTATTTCTTGTCTACCTGTAATTAAGGCATAACCATATGCATTAACCGTCGGTCCAAGCCCATAATTTTTAGTACAAATGTATTCAAAAAACTTGACGGAGCTCGAAATATCCATATTATTTAGTTCAAAGGAAAGACTAAAGCCCGTAAAATCCTCAATAGTGGGGATAAATAGGTTAAATACGTAGTACGTATCATAAAGATGTGAAGAATGAAAAGAAGTAAATCGTGTTGTTTTTAGAAACACAAAATGTAGCGACAGTCCTGAACCAAGTGATGTGACGTGGCAGGGTCGATTTAAAATATACAGGTGTAAAGCTACTAAACAATAAAATGGTGTAAAATCACGTCTAGATTTAACTGAGGAAAATATAAATCGATCGTGGTTACAAGTAAACAAAATATAGAGACAAACAGTGGATGTCATTACAGCATCGAAGACAGGATAGATAAGATTCAACGATATGACCAACATAAATTATAATAATCTACACAAACATATTTTTTATTGTTAAGATGTGATTTGATTTCAAATAAGACAACTTTCCACAAATGTATGTGTGACGTGAAGGTTAGCAACAACATGTAACCGTACGGACATCAACAATGAGCAAAACTCATACCGTATAGTCAGCTGTGCAAGGTCCATACATGGCAAAATTTGAATTAGTTCAAACGATTTAACCAACTTTCTGATTAATACAAAAGTAATAAACAAAACATGAATATTTAATATAGCAATATATCACTGGATCAAAGGCTCTTGATCATGACTTAGAAAAGGCTCATACAGAGTGTGGCGGGATATAACAAACTTTTCAGTGCTCAACACTTCCTTAACCAGACACAGTTATGTAACATCACCACATAACGAAAAACAGTAAACATGTGTTTGAAATGGACAGATAGGCACAAAACACAAACAAAATAAAAACTAACAAAAGTCAAAGACTGAAGTTACCTCTATTAGAATAATCGTTTTTGTTTCTCAACTCAAAGCTTATTCATATATGTAGCCAATCACAGCTGGTAAATAAATCAGGTTATCCAAGAC